AATTATTTTTACTTTTCCAGCGTTGCATTCTGCCATTGCACCCCTCTAAGCTAGGCCTACATACTCGACGACAGCACAAAAGAGACCATTGTAAACATACCTCAGTGGTGCGTAGGCCGAAGCCCGGGTCTGGCAGCAATATTCGCAGAGACTCAGTGATAAACTCCACTGCAAATGAATGATACCACCAGTCGCGAATGTGTGGCTTTTTGTAATATATACCCAGCAAGAAATGAGACCGAGGGGTATCCCCCAACACGTCCAATCCCTATACACATTCCAGACTATTGTTACTTAACACATTTCCACCAAGATGTCTGAAAGGAATTCCCCAGATTCCTGCGAGACAATGACCAACACAAAGCAGGGGGGGGGGTCTCTCCGTCTCATACCTTGCAGCATATGTTGTACTAACCCAGGTCGTGTGAGTAATGCATGTTCCACATGGAAGACCAAAAGCAATGGACGCTTCGGCGAATCTATCGTCAATGCACTAGCTAAAATAAACTGCACTAACAGACAAGAATAATCACGTGCACCTGTTTGATAACATATTTACTACCAGTTGCTGTCAACAGTTCAATTATAAAGGGTGAAACGCCCATTACGGAGACAGACAGAACGTTCGGAATAGCAACGTGAAACACGTTAAGTTATTGTCGGGCAAAGGTACCGCTGTTGCATAGCGGTGGAAGTTCATGGAAGGGGTATGACTTTTGCCATACTTCTGACGTTCAAGGCTATGCAAGGCTGAAGTTAGGTCAAACCATACGCGGGTAAGCACGGACCCATTATGCTTGTGGAGAATGCAAACAACGGATGCCGAGTTACATGGGAAACAACGCTCTCTCCTGCCGGGGTGGGGTATTCATTCGGACACTGCGCAGAGAGGGAAAGTTGATTCAAGGGCAATTTCTCTGAAATTAAGTGGTAGGAGTGAATTGCGCGTTTCGTCCGACTGTCATTTCGATTTATCTGGCGGTCGGCTGACTGGAATGACACAAATTCAATTATGGATGTTTGTACGGTAGGGCATATTTTTGATCGCCAAAAGTGTCATTTTAAGCCAAACATAGGCTAAAGAGTTGGCTATAGATGATCAGATCAAAACAATCAAATTGCCGCCACTTGAAGTTAGAATTTCAGGGATATAATTTATTCTGTCGCTGGCTAGACATATCATTTGTAATTTGATCCACTGAGTTAAAGGTTAGACGTTGCTTCGATGTATATAGACAGTATACTGGGGCAACTGGGCGTCGAGAAGGAGGGGGAACAGGGGTGCTTCCCTCCCCCCCAAGCCCAGCGAGAATGGAAAATAATTAAAAAGGGTCGAGGAATAAAAAAAGAAATTAACTCAAGAATTTCCTTAACATGCCTCCAACGGACATCTTCCGACTATTCATGGCTTCTCAGTTTGCTACTGGTGGATGCAACATGCATGAGTAAAGGAAAAACATTGCCATCTAATTGTTCATCGGAGGCAGAACTATCAGTGCATCATCGATATACAATAACAATTACATGTTGTGACTGCAATCTTTGACCGGCAATTTGGCCATTTAATATTTACATGTAGGCCTATCTCTAAAATAATCTAGCCCACGGCGTACAACTTGTCCTATAGGCCCAGTAGGGCATGGAGGCATATAGACCTAGTGGAGGACACGACGCACGATCTGGCATGGCCCGGGTTTTCTAGGAAGTAGGCCTACGTACTGTCGAAGGCGTTCTGGTAACATAGCCCGAGCTAGTTTCCTCTGAACTGCGTCGTGCAGATGAACCAAGATTGTGTGACGGCATCACCATGCCTCCCAGTGTGGAAGCTGCTCCTGGAAGGAGATGAGCCCGATGGCCTTGAAGATTGCCGAGAGGATGCCCTTGGGATCTTGAAGAAGCTAGGTGATTGGCGTCAATAATGAGTAGCTTTTGGTGTGGCTTTCTTTACATGCATGAGTAACTCGTAAATGTCCCTGAAGTTACGATCCGTTGGGAACCGTTCCAGTTCATCCAGACTGAAACCATGGAACGCCTTCATAATTAACTTCATCATTTTCTTTAGAGACGGCGGGAAACCTCTGAGGGGACAGATGAGGAACCTCCGCTTGTCTTTAATGACAATGGCAGAAGCGATGTCCATGCACAAGATGAACTTCTTACCTGCGCGAAGTCTGTCGACCCAATGCGCGTTTCGAAAGGGTCGACAGATTTTGCGCTCTGTGATTGGTTAACCGCGTTGCAAACTCTTGGAGGCGCACTATTGTGAATCGCCCGCATTATAAAAAGTTTAATTCACATCAACTTTAGGGGTTCAAAATGGCCTACGTTCTTGTTAATTCCTAATAATTACCGCAAATTTATTAATAAATTCAATTATTCCCCCATTCCTTTATTGCTAATACTCTACATTCCCCGAATTTTGCCAGGCAGGCGTGCGACCGTGGACTTGGCATTCCAGATAGAAGCTAATAATAAGTAGTGCGTGGAGTAAAGACCGAACCCAAGTGTAAAACCGGGGCGGGGGCGGAAGGGGTTTGCGCGTGATGTGCGTACAACGGCCTGTGCGCCTATTCCATTCATTAAAAGGGGGTATTCAGAAGGAATTGTTTCATTTAAGGGATACAATCTCCAGCGTTTCTATTTCTATCTACAAGGTTTATTGAAGTACTCGTTCTATTTTCAATGTATTCACCAGCCCTTTGTTTCATGGAACTGCTAGAAAAGGATTCCCATTTTGGCTTCTCGATCCTGGTGTGAATCCTGCATGCGAACACGTTTATAATGCACACGCTGGGCCGTGATCTCAAAGTAACATCCCTAAATTCCATGCCATGTTGCATAACAACAATTTATTTTGTAAAACTCCCACCATCAACATTGAGGTTTTTTCCTGAAATGCATACCTAAAGGTCTAACCTTTAGACTGTAGTCGTTAAAGGAAATCCTTCTCTTCAACATGATCGTTCCTCCACACCGTTAT